ACATAGCCTTCAAAGATTATGAGAAGGCGTTTGATTCAATGAAAATTCTGCAGTCATGCAGAAAGGTAGCTGTTAAAATAATCTGTAGAAAACGAAAGGAATGCACAACAACCTCGGAAGAGAACAGCGCATCGAAATAGGTAACAGTGCACTTGAAGTTGTAAAAGACTACGTCTACTTAGGACAGGTAATAACCACGGAGCCTAACCAGGAGATAGAAGTAATTAGAAAAATAAGAATGGGTCGGAGCACACTTGGCAAGCACTCTCAAATAATGACTGGTAGATTGCCACTATCCCCCAAGCGGAATGTATATAACAGCTGCATCTCTCCGGTACTTTATTACGGAGCAGAAACTTGGACACTTACAAAGATGGTCCAGCTAAATTGAGGATGACGAAACGAGCGATAAAAAGGAAAATGAAAGAGAAATGATAAATCATAAAGGAAATGGACGTTGACCGGCCATTTAGCGCGCAGGCAGGATAACCACTAACTGACTAGATTTCCAGAAAGGCAAGCGGGTTAGGGGGAGGCAGAAATTTAGGTGCGCATGTGAGATTAAAAAGTTTGCGGATATAAAGTGACAGCAGCAAGCACAGGACTGAGTTGACTAGTAGGACAAGGGAGAGGCCTTTGTCCTGCAGCGGACGTAGCCAAGCTGATGATGAAGGCGATGGTATTTTTGTACGCGCTTGTGTGAAAAAAAAAATGCCACCCACATTTTCCCATGGGGTGAACTCGAGTAAATGCGTCGCAGAGTCGTGGGAGTACCGCGTGAATGTTGCGTAATTCGGTGGGGTTAGGGAATGCTTCATTGTTATTTCGTCTTTATTATTCTTATTTATTTAATGAAGGAGAAGCGTTGCCTTCAACGTCAAGCGAAAGCCAAGTAAAGACGCCCTTGACTGGATTCCTAACTCGCGATCCAGTGCCTACTTATACCAGGTGGCCAGTGAACAGCCGTGCAGCGCGAACAGTCATTTTTTTTTAACTAGCACATGCTGCTTGTTTCGGCCTAGCGAGGCGAGAGAAGTGGAGGGGAGTGACAGTTTTGTGAGTATTCCTGGACCGGCACGAGACGCGAGCACGCGCGCCTGCGCCGTGCTCTCTATGCCCGGCTGCAGAACTTAGGCGCCTTCTTCTTCTAACCACTACCACCAGCAGGAGACGCCAGGCGCGAGCATGCGCAGCGGTGGTGTTGAGGCACCATCGCCGAGGCCGAAGCGCGACATCGTGCGATTGAGAAATGCTCCGCAGCTAGAATGTGGTAGATCACCCAAAGTGCACCTTCTTTCGTGCATACAAGGTTTTTGAAATAAAATGGATTAGAGAGCAAACATGGTCAAAGACGTTGAAGATCTCAAAAGAGCATGAAAAGGATGAAAAGGGTACTGCGTGGGCCGCCTTAAGGCAGACAACAGGTGTTCTGTTCAGAATGATAGAATGGTTGCCAAGGAAAACGCTGTCGAGGGCAGTAGTATGACAGTTGTTGTGTTGAAGTTAGTTAAGAATTATATCCTGAACCGGACAGGGTGCAATTGCTGAATTTCGGAACAGACCTTCATTCAGCAGTAGACATAAGTGTGCTGATACTGGTGGAAAAGAATTTGTCCAGCTAGTTTCATTTTGCAAAGCAAAACACATTGTAATGTTATATGCCGAGGTTTCAGGCAAAACAATGATGCCATTTCCAGATGAACTGCTGTGAGCGACGCTGCCCTATAGGTGTAACTGCTTGGGGCTATTTGACGCGCATCCAATACATCGCACACGAAGGTTGCAGTTCCTTTCATACTTGATGATTATTAAAATTTTATTTAGGTCCAGTTCACTGTTTTGACATTCAGCCACGCCTTTTACATGCGGCGGCCGCAGACGGGACTTGATCCTGCGATATCGTAGTAGCGCTATGCGACATAGCTACCACGTGGCGGATCTCCATGAGAAAAATGTGCACATTGCTATCGTTGTTGCAGCTGCCGCGCGTTCTTGCGTATTTCGACAGATAATGTGGCAGGCATTATTGGAGACGGAGGCGTTCAAATAAACGTAAAAAGAAATAATAACTGCAATCTATCCGGCACTACTTTTAAAGCAGCATAAACACGATGTACCAGCGAAACATCGTAAATATATTTTCCGTGTGAGTCATTCTCTACAGTGGACCTCATAGCCAGCCCAGCAAGGCTCGTAGGAAGTCTAGTAATTATGTTCCTGCTTTTTCTTTCTCTATCGCGAGTGTGTCACTGTATAAAAACATCCCGCATTTTTTTTTTTCAGCGCAAGAGAGAAGGATGACCAGAGGGTAGTGTGCACAAAGTAGCATTATGTATCCCCCAAAGGAGTTCAAATAAAAACAAATAATAATAATATGTAGGATTTCACGCCTCATAACCACCACATGATTATGAGAGACACAGTAGTGGAGGGCTCTGGAAATTTCTACCGCGTGGCGTTCTTTAACGTGCACCCAATTCTGAGCACACAGGCTTCCACCGATTCCATCGCAAGTGCAGTAGCCACAGCCGGGAGTGCCTTAGCCACTACTAGACCACAACAGCGGGGAAAATAAATAAAAAGTGAAGGCAGGACGAAATAGGTGCACTGATAGAAGCCGCGCAACGACATTTACTGCAGAAGTGCCTTTGGCCAACACATTGATTGTTGTCCGGCATCAGCTGAAAACGTTATCGCTTCCAGAGCACATGCGCGTCAGGGGCGTGCACCGAACATGGCGTCGGGCCCTTTGTTGCTTGAATTGGAGCGGCCAGCGTACAGCGCCGGCATGTTTTCCGGCGTTTCTCAAGGGCGGATCACTACCACGCAGCAGCCCCCGTTCGGCAGAGAAAGGGCCGAGCGCGACCGACTTCGGCCCGAAAACCCGTTTGAGCAGCCGGGGGCATATCTTCGTAACCGTAATGGCCGCTGGCTTAGCAACACCACACGCGGGGGCCCGCGAAGGGGGCACAGCGGGCGACGCTTTCCGCGAAGGCAGCCGTGGCGTTGTTGACGGCCTCGGCGGAAGTCGCACGCTCTGGACGTGACGTAACCGGCTGCGTACACCTCTCGCCCAGCAGCTGGCTGGTCTCTCCCAGGCATGCCGAGCGCGCGCTGCAGAGAAGGTCGCCGGCACGACTGTTCACGTGCACGCGGCGTGATCCGAGCGAGAGGCAGCCGCGTTCCCGCTTTTTATCGTCGGTCGAGGTGCCTGCGCGCCGCAAAAGGAAAAACAGCCTCCGCATGGAAGCAAGCGCAGCTCTTGAGTCAGATATGCTCCTTACTAGAAGCTTTGCGTCTTATTTCCTGAGTACCAGGCTGAGGTTGTTCTCGCCTGGGGCATTTTCGAATTCCGTGCCTCGGGCGGGAACGCCTTCTGCCTTCTATGCAGGGGCCGCTTCTACTTTGGCCCGTCTCCAAGAGGTCGACCCCGAGATAGATTTAGATTCAATCGAACTCCGCGAGTTAGTCGATAGACTCGCTCCGGAGTTACCCGAATGCTACAGAGAACACGACCTGTCCGAATACAGTCCTAACTGGCGGTTAATTACTGCCAGTTTCCTGGACGCCAAGCGCGCTACATTCATGTATCGCCTGGCCAGAGATCGCCTGCCTCTAAGCTTCAGGCCTTTCACAAGAATTGCTCAACGAGGAGTGTGCCCTTTTTGTGGCACTAAGGAGGACCTGGTTCACGTGTTCTCTCAGTGCGCACTACCAGCTGCCCTCCATCGAAGGATAGCTAGCTTGTTTGGCCACCCAGGTGTTCCTTTCAACACCGTTCGTTTTCTTCAACCCCTGTCGCGACAAGCGGCTAAGCAATACGTGCTTCTGCTTGTTGAGTGCTCGTACCAAGTGTGGGTTGCACGGTGCTGTGCCGTCTTTGATGGCAAGCGACCCGGGCTTCTCGAAGTGCTTGCAAAAGTACGGAAGGAGGTCTGGTTCGTTCTCCACCGAGAGTGGCAGCGCCTTGGTGCAAAGAAGTTCTACGAGACGTGGCACCGTCCGGCAGTGATTTTCAGTGAGGCAGGAGGGCAGATAACCATCAACTTTTAATGATGGCTTTCTCTAAGGCTCCACGACTAGGCCTAGTGAGCCAGTCGCCCCCGAGTTTGGTCTGTATGGTCTTTCACCCGAGTTTTGCATGTGCTAAGGTGATCCTGTCACCTTGTCGGGCTTTACCCGCAAGGTCCGTGTTGGCCCCTTCTGTAGGCTCGGCTACTTTACTCGTCGAGGCGGAAGGTGGTTCCCTTCTTCGAGAAGGACTAAGCCGGCTTTCAGCCGTGCCGGTTTCCGTGGGTACGTTTGGTTTGTGTGCAGCAGCACTGGCCTCTGCACCAAATAGTAGTCCCGTCGACCCCACAGGACGGATTGTGTCTCACTGCGCCCTTGTGGTGAGGAGACGGGCCATGACCGCAAAACGCCTCGCGCTGAGCGATAGCCCATCCGCACTGTGGGGGTGTTGTCGCAGGGTCTCAGCCGCGCGACAGTGTGAGGGCACGGGCACTTTGGTTGTGGTGACTGAAGTTACCGCGACCGAAGGCAGCACCGCTGCCACTTTTTTGGGTACGTCCGCTTTGCGTGTGGTGGCGAGAGCTACCGTGCCGAAGGGTAGCCCCTATGTCAAGTCTCGCTGGGCCCTAGTGGTCAGGAGACGGGCCATGACCGCAGCGCGCCCCATGCGCCGCGATAGCCCACCCTGCCAGGGTACGTTCACTTTGCGCGTTGCGACTGAAGTTGCTCCGCCGGAGGGTAGTCCCTTTGTCGGGCCTCCCTGGCTTGTATGCCGGGAGGCAGGCCGCGTCTGTTGGGCGCCTGGCGCCGAACGGTGGCCCCCTTGCCAGGGCATGGCCGTCTGCCCGAAACAAATCTTCCCCCCACACAGCCCTGGGGGGAGGGAGAGCCGGGACAGACGTAGGATGATGATGGGTTGATGAGTTAAGTGTGACTCTGGGACAAAGCGTTTCGGCGCCGCGTCTCCTTCCTATCTGACAACGGCTCAAAGAGTACGCGAAAAGAAAGCGCTCGGACGCAGCAGTCATGGCACCGCCAGTACCGAAAGACGGCATGGACGCCGCCGACGAGGGGTGCTCGTCTGATCGGCCCCGCATCGTACTCCCCTGGAGTTTGCGGCAACAATGCTTGGACGAAGTGGGCCGTAGCGTGTGGCGCTGGAGCAAGAGTGTGGACGAGGAGTCGGAGCCCCGTACTCCAGTTACACCCGTCACCAACAACCCGTTCGCTGAATGCCCGCTGCATGTGAGGCAGGATTTGCTGGAGTGCATCTTGGATGACGAGGCACGCAGCCCAGCCGTGCGACGCGTAGCCGAGTTGCTCTTGGTCTGCGGTGTGGAGTCGTTTGACCTCAGCTGCCTCGATGACTGCAGCACCGCCGACTTGCAGTTCATCCTCACTCTACTGCAGCAAAACGGCTCGTCCCTCTGTCAGCTGACCATCTCGGGCCTTTGGATGTACTCACCGGAGAGCGAGGAAATCGTCAAAAGCATCCTCAGATCGGCCCGCAACCTTCGTGTGCTGCGCATTCAGGAGATGTACAGAGACACGTTAGAAGTTTTAGTAAGGTCATGTCCGCTGCTCCAGCGTCTGGAAGTTATGCATCATTCGATAAACGCTGACGACATCGCTTCTGTGGCTCAAATCGTTCAACGGGAAGCGCTGCCGATCCAGCGTAGCCTCATGGAAGTGCGTTTGCCATCGTCTGTGAACGGCGAAGGGGTTATCAGTCTGATCGAAACATTTCCTAACCTTCAAATAATCCGCTGCGTCTACCTCGAGGCAGTGCTGGACAGTCTAGATGCTAGAGCCAGCGTGAGCAGCCGAGAATGGTGGGTGCGGAGACTCAGCCACGTCCACGCACTGCAGAGTGGCCAGTCCATGGGATCAGGAAGCGTCGAAAGGTTGGTGGCATGGTTTCCGGGTTTGGAAGAAGTTGTGCTGCACGTGCAAGAGGACATGAACCTGAGGGAATTAGCTAAGTTGAAGCGCCTCCGTTCATTGGAACTCAGGAACAGTCAAACGTTACCATCTTCCTACACCGACGACGTGCTACCGCTTCTAGCTCTGTGTGGAAAGCGACTGCTACGCCTTGGGCTCGAACACTTTGATGTTGTTGATTTAGCAAGGACTGACATCATGTGCCCCGAACTAGAATCGCTGTCGCTGCGTTGGTTCATCCTTCTGGGCTGCTCAAGTCCGGCAGTGAGCTCGAGGATGGCAGCGGCGAGGCCATTCCAGAACCTAAGGGAGCTGAGGCTGCGCCCTCGCGTCGGTCGTACGGTACCTCGAGAAGCATGTGAGCTTCTGCTATCACACTGCCAAAACATCCGCCACTTAGAACTTTTCTGCTGCACCGGACTAACGGACTCGTTGGCCGCAGTTCTGTGCAAGCGCAATGGGTTCGCTAGTCTCAAATCTGTGCGGCTACGGCACGGCCACGGACTGAGTGCTAACGGACTACAGTGCTTTCTCTCCAGAGCGTCGAAGCTGAAGTTCTGGAATGCAGGCAAGATTACCCGGAGATCGTCCCTGAGCGAAGATGAAGACATGGACGAGGGAGTCGACAACGTCCGTGATTAGTGACGTATTTCTGTGATAAAGGGCCGCTTCTAAATTACAGAACATTGGAGTTAAAACCACGTGATACGGCCTACTAAAGCCACAAATTCAATGCAATTTTGTGCTTTGTGACCTTGTCTCGCTTCTTATTTGTTGGCATCGTGTTAAACCTATGTGATTGTGATCAAATGCTGCTTGTGTGCCTGTAAACTGCTATTCATTTGTGTTTGATTTTAGGCGCGATTCGCCGACGAACTTTCGTTTCTAGTCGCTGCCAATCATAGCGATTATCAGAGAACTTTCGTTCACGTTTTTTGCCCAGCAGCAGAAAACCTGAAGCATGAAAGTAACGCGCACTGTTACGTTGTCCTCGTTCGTTCAGTGGTGTGCTGCTCGCTTCATGACTTTCACTCGTGTCTGTGTTTTTCCTCGTCACCTCTCGAATGGTACGCAGCGTGTCACCACGATGAAGGCCACATGTTTCTCGTGCCAAATTGTTGAGCGCTTTATGTACAAAACTGTTTTCATTCCAAAGGCTTTTGTGTACGGACTGACTCATTATGCGGGGAAGTGAATGCGAGCCTTTTCGCGACTGTTCTACCTTGCCACATAAAATAAATCACCTTGAATTTTTTTTTCAAAGTTTGCATTCTTGTTTCTGGAGACGTGAATATTTCTAGAGAGACCGGATACCTCCAGTTTGGCGATGAGAAAAACTTACTATGAATGGGGAAAACTGAATTGTCATCGGGCCTTGATGGGTACAGTTGCATGTATCCCGATTTATTCAGCTACTCAAGTATCTCGAACTTAAATACTATAATTAAATGAGTGCTTGACTGCTACGTGGAAAAACAAGCTTAATTGCGGAGAACACGAGAAGAAAGACACGTGATTGCGCAACTTCTCTTTGCTTGTGCGTGTTGTGACTGTTCTATGTGTGCATGGACACACCGAGCATACACATACACGTGAGTGTGTTGATTGCCTCGGACGATTTTCGTTTCATTACTTTTCTGGCTGGCGAATTTACGCCCATGCTATACATGTACTACGAGCGAGCGTTGCCTAGCTGCTCTATTTATTCATTATCGGCGTTTCCACGCAACACAATCGGCTCGTGTCGCCAAAGCTACGGAGACCTCGCAATCCCAGGCCACCCTCTGCGGGCCCTATCGCTTATCTGTGCTTTCGACAAGTACCTGGTCCTTGACTCGAGTGGCCACCAAGAGAAGGCTTCGCGTGCGAAGCGGCACACTTTTGCGTCCTGTGAGCTCGCGGTTGAACGAACCGATGGCTGCCTAGGAAATTCTAGAATTACACCGATCGATGTTAGAGTCTCGGATCAGGAGCAAGCCGATCAAATCATGAGCACGTGCGACTGAATTTTTGTGACGCGGGCCTGAGGTCAGGAAGCCTACACGCGCGAATTTCACTCGCTCGGCCACCGGAGCTCAGGCTAACCTAAAGGAACTACTGTCATGTTGGACTACTGCTATAGCACTTAACCGAGTGAACTTCTTATAGCCCGGATTTTTAGGTCCGAAAAGGAGAATTTGAATTGGAGTTAGAAATGTTTTCATGCGGAATAAGGACATCCACAATCACTACCACACCACTCCGCTGTCAATAGTTGATATTTCTAGATTACCTTCCATATACTGAACTAGGGCTTCTAGCAAAACAGTGCCTTGATGTATGCATTATTTTGCATAACGAACTTAAACTTAGCAGATAGGCCTTTTCTTTTTGCGGCATTCGCTATTCTAAACATTCAATATTCGCGATTGAAATTTGTGATAAATCACCACACGCGAACGTGGCTTTGTCAGAAAACCACTCATTGCGTCCAGAATAAGATATTGTTTTCTCCCAAAGAAAGACATTCATTCATCTGTACAGACAGAATTCAAACGTAGTTATTTAGCATGACGTGAAATCGCGAAATATTGAGTCGGAATTTAGGCTTGCTGCGACTGATGGCAGAACGAACATGCGTTCTCGTCGTGCTATGTATGAATGGTATGAGCAGTGGCGCTGACCTCATTTTAGTGAACAAGGAAGAACGACGACGAAAAAAGCTTCCAAGGGACACACGCTTTTATAAAGCAGACAGGTGAACTAGCAGATAGGTATTTCGAGCCAAACTTTCGTGCTATTTCGTAGTATGGCGCTACTGGAGGGACTTGTGCGTGATATGGCAACGCGACCGGCGCTGGCATTTCGCAATGGTGTCACTCGATGGCTGTATTCGCATGGCCTACTTCCCAGCCGACAGCGCAGCCCCCCATGCAGGACGGCAAGCATTATTCGACGCCGCTGAATCAAGCCCATCCTTGTTTCGCCCTCTTGCTTGGCTGCCCCCCGTGTCGACATTGTTTCGTCACATTTTTCGCCTCCGAAACATATTTTGGGTCTGACGTTCCCCTGCACGTTGACGATGGAGCCGCGCTCTGACGCTAACATAGGGTGGATTTAGCGTTTGAATTTGGGAAACTGAGGCATGCTACTTGTTATGAAGGATACATTATTGGGTGATGCCGCATAATAACAATCTTTAGATTGCGCTTTATTGCGCCTGATTTTGCTAACTGAGGCACCCCCATTGAGCTATAGGACCGAGATATCCAGGCAGAACGACAGTCATAATAATTTTGGGGTTTAACGTTGCCAAACCACAATATTATTATGAAAGCGCTGTTATAGTGGAGGGCTTTGGAAATTTCGATCACGTGGGGTTTTTTTAACCTGCGCCTAAATCGAGGTACACGGGCCTCAAGCATTGCCAACTCCACCGTAAGTGTGGCCGCTGCGGCCGGGATTCGATCCCGCGACTTGCAGGTCAGCAGCCGAGTGTCTTATCCACTAGTCCACTATGACGTGTCAGCGGCTGCATTTTTGGTAGAGAAGAAAATGCTGTAGTCTCGTGTGCTCAATTTTAGTGCACGTTCAAAAGCCCACGGTGGTCGAAATTTCTGGAAACCTCCACTATGGCGTCTCTCATAAAAATGTGGGGGTTTGGCAAAGTTTAACCCTCCATATAAAACAATCACCGTGGGGGTCAGACAGAACGAGTCAGTACTTCAGGAGCAAATTACCACTTAGCGGTGCTACGTTCATTTTTGTGCAATTAACAGCGCAGTATCTACTAGACAAATTTTAGGATATCCCAAAGTGCGACAGATAACCGGCGCTTATTCTCACACTACGCTTGAGGGTAGGGAGGGGGAGTTGAAAACTCATTTAAAAGTGAGGGAAAAGCACCCCCCACCCCACCCCCTAAATCACTATCCTGGGTTTTCTCGTGACTTCAGGCTCCGGCAATATTTACAACATACCTCGACATATTTTACCGATTGCGTCTGTATCGGTGTATAAGAACTATAGCATTAAAAGGTAACTGATAACGAATGAAGTGCGCTCAAATAATTTTTTTTCTTGTCGGCTCGCTCGAAAGTGGCGCACTTCATTCGTGCTCCGCAGCTGCCTTTCGTGGTGTTGTCGCTTGACTCTTTGGTATAGGGGCGAACTTCGAGTGCACGCAGGTCGCAACGCAGCACGGCCGCCTCAGCTCCAAGCGTCGTCCTTCGTCGTCCTTCAGGCCCAACGGAGGGCGTCTACGTACAAATGCGTAACTAGAGCTTCGCATGGCACGTATTAGCTCAGATAATAGCAGTGAAAACAGCATAGACCTGCAGAAATCGATAGCGCACCATGACACACTGCATGCAACATTCAATAGGACACTTCTTTAAACAGGATAGAGAGACAACAGCAAAAGCGTTGACACCGCCATGCATGAAGAAGGTCGCACCATCTGCAACGATGGTGTATAGTCAATAGAGTGCATGCTCGACTGCTGACACGAAAGTCACGGGATGGAATCCCAGCTGCGGCGGTTTAATTCAAAGTATACGCGAAATGCTAGAGGCCCGTATACTTGGATTAAAGTTAGAAGTGTGGCAGCTTGGGCTAGTTGGTATGACGTGACGATTGTTACAGCCCGAGAACAGTACGACGACACAGAGACAAGAAGGACCTTCGTGTCCTTCTTGTCTCTGTGTCGTCGTACTGTTCTCGGGCTATAACAGTCGTCTTGGATTTAAGGGCACGTTAAAGAAAACCAAGGGATAAATATTTCTGGAGACCTCTACTACAGCGTCTCTCATAATGATGCCGTGGTTATGGGACGAAAACTGCAACAATTATTATTTTTAAATGTAGCGCAAAAAAAACTAGAATAAACATCACAAATCGCCTCGGCACGATGTGCGATACAGTCGGGACACGTGGCTTTACTTACGATTGTCTCAGCTGTAACAAATAAGTAGACTCTCATAGATATGTGGTGTTTAACGTGCCAAAACCACCATATGATTATGAGAGACGCCGTAGTAGAGGGTTCCGGAAATTTCAACCACCTGGGGTTCTTTAACGTGCGTCCGAATCTGAGCACACGGGCCTACAGCGTTTCCGCCTCAATCAAAAAATAAGTAGACTCTATACACGTGCATAATGGACAATATGGGTTAACAACCTCTTTCAACAAGCAGCTGCTCTTTGATTCACGTGGAATTTGAATAGCACGTGTTATTTATCTGCGGCGCAGTTTTGACTTTTAATACGTTTGGACGGTCACTATAATGAGAGGAGGTTCTTGAATTGCAAGCTGTCAGGCGAACCCTACTGAAATCCAAGAACAATAGATGTATTACGTTTGGTCTGATAAATAAGAAAAATCTTGCATCGCCTATTCAGGAGCAGCTGTCGCTCATCAATGATAACTGCTTTTTCGGTCATGTATCCTTTTGATTTGCATATCTCTTCGTCAACAAGCTTTCGGACAATGCTCTTTGAATTATCAACGCTACAGAATTATGGAATGTGAAAATGAATGTAAAAGGGTTTTTTTTTTGTTTTTACGCTGGAGATATATAAGCTGAGCGGTGCGCGACGCATGGGCCCGCATGAGCGACGATTATTGCTTCGACATCTGTTCATCTCGTCTCCAGCTGTAGTGTTTACCCGAGTGTTTCTAAGTACTTACTCATAGAGAATTGAATTTCATCGGTGGTATTCTTATGTCTCTTTCGTTCATTTTTTCCGAGAAACATCCATGAAAATGGATGAGTGATACGAATGCAAAAATGAATCCCATCCGTGACTGCTTTACTTTCTTACTTTCACGTAGCTTTGGTCATTACGTTTTTTGTAGAAAGCGTACGCACTTCGACCGGTTCGATGTAACCACACATGCAAAAAGAAAGATGAAGAAAAGAGAGAGAGAGCTAAAAGCCCAAAAATAAAAAATACCTTCTTGAATGTACGTAAAATTAAAGTTTAACCAATACTATGTCGGGCATAGTGCGTACATTCGACCATTTTGTGCTCACAATCTTACTAAATGAAAACCAACAAAAAGCGTAGATAATCGTCCAGATATGAGCAGTGCATGTACCTTCATTGCGCAGCTACCACAAGTTGTTTTTGCACCACCCCGGCGATGTCTGGCCACTGTAACATGACACCCAAGACAATTAATTATCGCACCCTTCTCTATTGGATATCCTATGCGTTGTTCTGTTACCATGCTGCTACTAAACAGCCATGACTTATTTTATTAGTAATTCATCCCAATTTCA